CAGGGGCGAACTGGAGGCTCTGGGACCCAGATAGGGTGGTGCTGCCTAGCACAGCCTGACGTAGCCAATAGTGGCCATCACCTGACCACATCTACTACTCCACGTCGAGTAGTTAGGATCGTGGGCACAATCCCAGAAACGCCCGGCTACCACCGCTTACTCGATATGACCGCTACCTCGGGACCGCCTCGCGAAGAGGATGAGGCAGCCAACTACCGAACACGACTCTCCAGATGTAACGAGCCGCCGCTGGCTGACGGACACTAGCTGGGCCTCCCCCAAAGGGGAATCACCCGGCTGGTTGGACCTCGCCGCAGCGTGAAGTTTTTCCTGGACTACTGAACCAGACAACCATGTCACTCACCAGAGTGACCACCCATCGCCCCACCTGTTGTCGCAGGTGGCATCCGACACCACGTTAGAGAGGCCATTGCCACGTGAACGTCTCCAACGTCGCAAACGGCCGTCGAGAACTCCATGAAGACGAAAAACACGGTATACCTAACTGTGCCACTTGCAAAAAATACTTTTGTTGGGAACATGCTATTATGTATGGTATGTCCTGACTGTTATGGTGAGACTGAAAACTGTGTCAGTCTGTGATTTTGTATTGGTACTTTAAGTGTTTTATGAAATTAAGAGGTTTATTTTTCTTTTTTAGATGAAAGAAACGTTTTGGATCTGTTTTTGTAGTACATACGAAAAAACTCTGAGCATTTTGTATAAAACGGATAGTCTAATAAATAATTAAAAACAAAGTGATTATATGATATATATTTTTTCATTATATCCTTTACTTTTAATGTCCAACTTTATTTATATTGGCTTTCTTAGAAATATCGTATGAATCGAGGTTTTAAACTTTCGGTCTGTGAGACCGTGCGCGGGTATAGGTGTCACAAATATTGGCGCGGGTATACGAAGGTTAACAGTACGGCGCGGGCCGATACGCGCGCTCTAATGCTTGCTTATCATAGTCTAAGGCGACTACTAATAATCTTTAATTTATCAGACCTATAAGATCAGCTCTCGCGTGATAGTAGTCAATGAGTCAAGTGACGGGAAGTCGCCGGCGTCGTCGGTGATAGGAGGCGACACGTCCCTGTATCCAGTTTGCAAAAAGGTTTCTTTATCAACGTTTCTGCAACTTTCCATAGCCAAGAAAATAATGCGACTACAGTGCGCCTAAAAAGTTAGACCGGTTGGCATTAGTCAGCACACAATCTCTCTGTCTATCAGTAGCAAAACGCCAGTGACAACGCTATTGAACCCTTTAATTTTTATAATTTGACGTCTACCTTGTATATCTATGGAGCATCTGCTTACGTTTTGAGAGTACGGCGCGGGCCTAAAGCTTGCTTATTAGACTCTAAGGCGACTCCCAATAAATCTTTGATCTTCATTTATCAGAGCTATAAGATCAGCTCTCGCGTGATAGTAGTCAATGAGTCAAGTGACGGGAAGTCGCCGGCGTCGTCGGTGATAGGAGGCGACATGTCCCTGTATTCAGTTTGCTCACGCAACAGGTTATGTATGGGGGAAAGGAGCCGCTGAATGGTGGTAAATAGGGATGTTAAAAGCCAATGCCTGATTTTGGCGTCTTTGTTTTCTAGGTGTTACATAGAATGCGCTTATATATTTGAGTAGAGGACAATGCAACAGGCAAAAAAATATATGACAACTACGTGTATACCTCTACCTGTCACTGGAACAGAGATATACGCGTTTGAAGTTACTAAAGTGATTTTTTTAAATAGGTGTTACACGGATGGTGCTTATATATTTGAGTAGAGGGCAATGCAACAAACAAAAATTATATGTCAACTATACCTCTACCTGTCACTGGAACAGAGATATACGCGTTTGAAGTTACTATGGGGAATTTTTATCTAAGGGTTACACGGATGGTTGTTATATATTTGAGTAGAGGACAATGCAACAGACAAAAATATATACGACAACTATACCTCTACCTGTCACTGGAACAGAGATATACGCATTTGAAGTTACTATGAGGATTTTTTTATCCAAGTGTTACACGGATGGTTCTCATATATTTGAGTAGAGGACAATGTAACAGACAAAAAAACAACTATACCTCTAACTGTCACTGGAACAGAGATATATGCGTTTAACCTTTTGCACGCCTGAGTTTTTTTACGTCGCTTCACCCCCTACGCCAAGCATAGAAAAATGTGAAGATCGGCTAGTGATGTGACAAGCAGCCAGGTGTATTAAACAAAACAGAATTTAAGTCATAAAAATAGCAAAATTTAGACTTCTTTAGTTGTCAATGGCGTCGTATGCACGCGATCGTTTAGCAACTATAGTTGTCGTTGGCGTTCAAAAGGTTAAGCTAAAAAAAATCAATGGGCATTTTTTTGTAGGTGTTACGTAGTTTAAGTATAATAAAATAATATATTAATTTATTACAAATAATATAAACCAACTATACATCTTACTGTCACTGGAATAGATTTTACAGAGCATTGATACAATTTATATATTTGTTCCAAAACAGACTATTTAAGGTACAAAAGTACCTACTGCTTATTTTCCTTCTTTATCATTCACGTCACATCACATCACCCTATTGTAGTCCACTGCTGGACGCAGGCCTCCCTAAATCGTCATAGTATATTTTGGAACTTCAAACGCGTATATCTCTGTTCCAGTGGCAGGTATAGGTATGGTTGACATATTTTTTGTTTGTTGCATTGTATTAAACTCAAATATACAAGCGTGGTCTGTGAAACACCTAGAAAAAATGAATCCCCATAGTGTTTTTATAAAAATCAAACGCGTATATCTCAGTTCCAGTGACAGGTAGAGGTATAGTTGTCATATATTTTTTGTCTGTTGCATTGCCCTTTACTTAAATACAATATAAGTACCATCCGTGTAACACCTAGAAAAAGAATCCCCATAGTAACTTCAAACGCGTATATTTCTGTTCCAGTGACAGGTAGAGGTATAGTTGTCATATATTTTTTTGTCTGTTGCATTGTCCTCTACTTAAATATATAAGCGCCATCTATGTAACACCTAGAAAAAAAAGACGCCAGTAGTCCATACTAATCCGGCATTGCCCTTTGTTACAGATATTTTCACTTTACTTTACCTATTTTCACCTATACCTGCAAAAAAAACGTCAGGTACTGGCGACTACAGTGCGCCTAAAAAGTTAGACCGGTTGGTAGTAGTCAGCCCACAATCTCTCTGTCTGCCAGTAGCAAAACGCCAGTGAAAACACTATTGAACCACTGCCTCTATAGGTAACTTCTAATATATTTGATGTCCGTATCTATGGAGCATTTGCTTACGTTTTGACAGTTAGGTGCTGGCTGATGCGCGCACTTTAGAGCTTGCGGTGACTACCAATAATCTTTCACCTCCTATCAGACCTACAAAATCAGCTCTCGCGTGATAGTAGTCAATGAGTCAAGTGACGGGAAATCACCGGCGTCGTCGGTGATAGGAGGCGACATGTCCCTGCATCCAGTTTGCACACGCAACTGGTTATGTATGGGGGATTGAAAGTCCCTCGTGAGGAAAGGATTCGCTGAATGATGGTAAATTGGTGTTGAATTTCTTGCAGATTGGTTCACTTCATTACCTTTAATGCATGTTACATATGATTAACAGGCACAAAAGTCCACTGCATGATCGTTAGACTTCCATAGCCACAAAATAATGCGACTACCAATAATCTTTCACCTCCTATCCTCCTAGGTGATAGGAGGCGACATGTCCCTGTATCCAGTTTGCACACGCTACTGGTTATGTATGGGGGTTTGAAAGTTCACGTGAAGAAAGGAGTCGCTGAATGATGGTAAATTGGTGTTGAATTTCTTGCAGATTGGTTCACTTCACCTATAATGCATGTTGCATATGATTAACAGGCACAAAAGTCCACTGCAGGGTCGTTCAAGCAAGTGGGCCTCCTCCTTTTGGGGTGTATTTACGATGCTGCCTTGTAACGATGCTGGCTATATCTTGGTTCCGTCACATAATTACCCTCATGCCACATTAAGATAGGGTGGTACTATTTTTAGTCGGGAACACACGGAAAATAAGACCACTAGCCTCCACCCAGAAGTGAAGTTTTATGGCTGTTGATACACACCTACACCTGTTTGCCTACACCTACATAAGCCGTTAAATAAAATACTGCAAATATTTTAAGGGGTGAACCAGACTAAGAAAAACTAAAAAATTTGGACCTCCCATACAAAATGTTCCAGCCGAGCATCAATTTGTATGGGGGGGTCCAAATTTTTATTTTGACCTATGTTACTGGTTCACCTCTTAAGATATTTGCAGTTGATTTTTTTACACTTGTTACTTTGTACACCTATCGTCACCGATACAGACGACCTCCCGCCTCCCAGCGTCTGACTCATTGGCTACTATCACGCAAGCACTGACTGCTGATTTTATAGATCTGATAAATGCAGCCGACAGATTCATTGCCTTGATTCCATATTGGTCATCGCCTTGCTAGTGTATTCAGGTTTTTGTACCTATTCAAATGTACGATAGGAGAAATTTGATGTTGGTTAAAACTACCATTTGCTGCGCGACAATATGAGGCGTCTTATCAAGCAAGTACGCAATGATCTTTCTTTTTCCTATCTTTTTTATTGTGAAAAGTCCAGTCAATACAAGTTCCGCGAAAGCCTGCGAACACTGTCATATAAATGTAAAGCTAGATAAGCCTACCACAGTTGGTAGGTATCTACTATCTGGTGGAATCGCGTAAACAAGATGACACTCATTAGCGCTTTCCAAGAGATTTCCACAATTAGCGCAATCTGTTTTAATGCGTTGAGATAAACTGCAGATCCAATCGACGCCGGCGGTCGTGCTTCATTTCATTACCTACACTACACACGTTTAGGGTTGGATATTTAGAGTGTTAAATTAAAAGCGTATGTATAAATGAAAACCTTTGGGCGCAGTATGACAACAGTATATATAATAATAAATTGAAGAAATCATGCATCGACCGGGGCTCGAACCCGGGCCGCAGGGGCCAACAAACCGCCACTCTGCCACTGAGCTATCTATGCACCGGCAGATGCCTGCCAAATTTTTCAATCTCTTGATGCCGTGTGTAAAAAGCTGGAAAATTCCTGTTTATCCGGAGACTATGCAGGTTATATTCTATATCTGATCTGGAGCCAATTTCCAGACAATGAAGAGTACAATTCGGATTTGAAATAGATTCTAGCCAAAGTTTCCTGCATTATGGTATCTACAAATTAATTAAAATATTCAAGACATATGTTCACTAGACTTAACAGGTAATACCAAAATATTATCCAAATTTGCAAAATGACCAATCGAGCGTTTATTATTCCGACAACCCTATTGCAACATTGTCGCGTCAGGGAGTCGTTCCGTTTTCTCTAGATCTGTTTTTGTAATACACGCCAGCTTTTCAATTTCTTGTGTAGGCCTTTAACTAATTGACGTGGTTTTTCCTTGTATTTATTCATCACAGTCGTTCTTGTCTACTTTCTTCTAGGTTTCATATCAACATCAGTCACTGGTATTGCAGATTGATGAAATTGAGTTTAGTTTTGCGATCTATCGTTTGCTGGAATAAGCTTTCAAATAAACGTTCCGCATTACTTGATTATTGATGTTGTAAATGTGTGAAAAGACTAGAAATCTTCTTTAAATTCAATAATTTCCCGTTTCCAACTTCACTAAGGCTCAATGGGCTTTCGCAGGTTTTTAGTATCCGCTCAAATCTTAACATTTTCTAAGCCAGTTGCTCGACTACTAAACCAGCTTACTGTGTAATCCTGGATGAGATCTACTTAGCTTCAGATTTGTCGTCCATTTTACGAGCTAGTTCGCCTGCGTGTAATTTTATTAGCGCTCTTAATTTCCCTATATTCTCACTCCTGCCATTTTAACACCATTTCATGTCCAATGCTGGTTTTATTTTACCCGTGTGATAAAGGTCCACGTTTCGAGTAGCAACGTATGCTGAGCAATTTTACGCTACTTGCTTTTGCTCCAGTGAATATCTAAGTGTATGGGCAATATGCGAATGTCTCGCGATGGTCGACTAATTAAAATTTATGCGTGTACATTACATACTGTGCTTATCTCAGACCCGCGACTTGTTGACACTTGTGGGGATAATTTAGAGCTAGTACCGTTTACTGAATATCGAGCTGGTTTCTACTCGTATTTTCAATATATCTTCCAAGTAGGAAGAAACTTATTGCACTTTATATGATACCTGTATGATACCTGTACATCTTATGGGGTTATCTTCGAACAGTCAAACGACAAGATTAAATCTTCATAATCGAAGCATCCGGGGTCATCATTCGTATCAAACCATGTTCAAATATGTACATTCACTTTAGGTTTTGAAACCTCGATAGTAATAATAATAATAACCTATAACAATGTAAGCGTCTACGAGTGATAAACATCCATCCATAATTCAGTGTTTTGTCATAAATCTGATGCAACTTAGTCGTAAGCTGCTGCAATCTTATTTGTAGGAATAGCTTCTATTGGAACTTTACTCTCAGTTTTACTATAACTAACAGCCGATGTGGCGCAGTGGTTAGTACGACCACAAATTAGGGAAACGGTGCGCGGGGCGGTACGACTGCCTGCGATGCAGAAGGTTCCGGGTTCAATTCCCGGTGGGGTCACTCACAAAGTTGATACACAAATTAGGGAAACGGTGCGCGGGGCGCCTAACCAGATGGCTCACTCAGTACTAGCGACGGTTTTGACGCTAACTGACTTTAACTGGAAATAACTGGAATCTCAGGGGAAGTCAAGGTAACTTAGAAGGTGGTTGACACGAACGTCATATTTCTTGGATTTAAAATTAGCTCAGAATCATGTGACGTTCTTTATCAGATTTTGCTGTTTTGACATTTTTATACTCGGAGATTTTGACTGTAGCAACCCTGGCTATGTAACAAATGTCAATCACAAAAATCCGAAATAGCGCCGAGTGAACTTTCTGTAAACTCACTATTTTGTGGTTGATATTTATCACTTTATTTGTTTCCGGTCTGGTTAGGACATTGCAGGCTGAACCACCGGATTGTCCGAAAAGCAAGATGGTTTCGTGCTTCGGAAGGACACGTTAAGCCGTCGGTCCCGGTTGCTGTCTATGATCATTTAGACGGCGGTCGTTACACAACCAAGTCAGAGGCCTGCTTCCACCTTGCCCTGACACCTGGGTTCATCGGGTCGTTGGACGACTTGGTATCCCATTCGAAGAAGAAGAAGACTAACTAACAACAGTATATGTCATAGAATTCGCATCATCTGGGCCTTGGATGCCCCCGGCTAGGTTACTATATTGATAGTTGGTGTACCAACATAAAATCAGCGGCCTTGCGTCCAAGGTCTGGTAAATGCTGAGGATCAGTTTATATTCAGAAAATACAAAACCAAGACACTAATCTAATTGACAAACCTACATTTACGTTTTCCTTGATTTCCATGCAACATAAAAGGATGCTACAATCCTCTACAAATGGCTTCTATTAGAATTTCACTCGCAATTTCAGTATTTAGTACTAGCGCAATACAACCTCGAGCAGCCCTTAAATCTTTTATCGCTACCAAATCGACAGTCGTAAATCGGGCGGGCCATTGTTGCAGTGCCCTTATATGGGAGCGGTCGAAATAAATCACAAGCAACCATATCGCCTGATCTGCTATCCGATGCATCGCGATCGAGTATTGCTCTGCTATTGAATTAGCATTACCTCTGTTTGTGCATATTTTGCTAAAGATGGGACTTCTGTTTTATCCTTTTCGTAATTTCCTTCCACTAAGATTTTGTTCGTCACACATTTCACGCCTTTGTCCCTGTGTGGTAGGCATAATACGGTCGCTATCGCCACGTCTGACAAATATTTGCGGGCTGTTTCAGAAAAAAACGTGTATCACTATAGTGACAAGTTGTAAGCCTGTCGCCTAAAATAGTAATACGCATAAAACCCTCGGGTCCCCTGATCGCCTCTTACGACACATGCGTAAAAGAATTAGGCGTACTACATGTAGTGTTTTTCTTTTCTTATTTTATAAACTCTCTTTGTTTCCTTTATAGCAGTTTCTCCCATTCATAACTGTCACATTCTCTTTTATATCTCCTAGTTTAGTATTTCTGCCGCGTTCTACCACTATTTCTGCAGGTATGTCACCAAGATCTATGCGACGATACGCTCTCAAAATCTCTACATCTCAGTCGAGGCGCCCGCGCTTGGCACCCGAAGTATGTTGCGGTATTTCTTGAGCTACTGTTGCGTAAAATTCTTGAAGCAGTAGGCATAGGCAGTGATTTCGTGCGGAAATTGTAAGTACTCTACTCTTTAAAAACTCCAGAAAGGGGACTGGGTGCAGTTAGGGAATCATTTTGCTGGTTAGGTAGTACAATCACCCTGCGCGCCGTCTCCCTAATTTGTGGTACTACTATAGTAATTTAAGGTAATATGTATCAACATATGTATATCCTACTTATTTCTGAATACCATACTTATTTGTGGTCTATTAAACTTTTCACGATACCTAACACTGATTCTAATCAGATTCAACTTTTATTCGTTCATAAACTTAATCTATAGATTGGCTATTAAGTCTAGGCCTAACGTATGAGTGCAATATGATATCTCATAGAAGCTTTTATGATAAGAACATTGAAATTTTTACGAGCTAAAGGATGAATGAATAGAATTTTACGTAGAATGATTTCAAGGTGCAATCAAGGTGATGAAGAAAATATTCAAGAAACTGAGTTGTAGTCCACAATAATGAAAAATATTATACCTATTCGACTTAAGCAACTCTACGTACCTTAGAGTAATGTTTTGATGCATAGAGTCCATAGAGTCTTTGTATGTTAGTGCTTATTTTATTTCTTATTTTATCTCGTATGGAATTTTCTTGTGGATCATCATTATAATCGCATCAACGATTCAGTGATACGTTGTTTTTTGCTGCAGGTGGCCCGTCGACCTGAATGATCTTGCCATCGAGAACTCCACCTATTAAATGTAAGTTGTCATAGAAACTACATCTTCATTAGACGCTGAGATATCATTATCAATCAGAGGGCATGAGAAATATGATGTTGTTTATCCTACAGATTCATCACATGATCTATGTGAAGGTTATTGAGAATTTCGTTAGTGATGTTTGAAATTGGTACTCATAGTCTAAGGGAAAGCAAATCAGTAACAAAATGTTTACGATGAGAGAAATCGATTATGTAGTTTTAAATAACATTACATCTTAAACCTGCAGGCAAATTTTTAGGCAGATGTGCTGCACCTGGTGTAGCCCAAGATCTTCTATCTTATCTACCATCTTTTGCCGTGGGTGATTGGATGGGGAAGTGTAAGGACAAAATAATACATGTTCGTGTTTTGCACAAAAGAAGTTTTTTACAATCTTTATTGTCAACCATAAATTCAAATCAAACCAATAACTTTCGTGAACCGAAGCAATAGATGTGTATCAAATGAAGCGTGCAAACCCCATCGAACTACGCTACGTTGTTATCATCAGAATCTGATATTGTCTAAAAGCAAAAGCCGCGTACAGAATTCACTATCTTTGAACTACTTTAATTTCTTCTTGCGATGGCACAGCTATTTCTTCTAGTAAAAGTAAAGCCGAGTATGCAGTTTGAAAATTCTTTTCTTTTTTATTCTTTTTGAGTGGAACACCGAGTCGTCCAACGATCCAAAGAACCTTGATATGGAGTACAATCCGCTTGTGTTATGATAAGACTCTCATCCTTTCCACTGGAACAGTTGTTTTCACCATTGTGTCGCTTTATAATAATTGTAATCACATGAAACCATTTAGTCGCTTAGTCGCCTTTAACGAAACCTCGGGTGGAAATTATAGTGGGGTGATACTATTCTAACTCAGCATCACATGACACGGCTTACGGAAAGGCTTCAATTTCAGCCATAACAATCATCTGCTGGACACGGGCATCCCACAATCGGAGGGCATTTGCCATACTCACTACGCTTGACAGGCGGATTGTTGACAGCAGTGTAAGATG